GCAGATGTCTACGCAGACTCCCACTTTTAGAAAACTTCTTGTTGCAGAGAGTACATTCGAAAGGAGTTTCTTCTGTATGGGTTCGCAGATGTACAAGCAGACTCCCACTCTCCGAAAATTTCTTGTTGCAGATAGTACATGCGAAAGGAGTTTCTCCTGCGTGGTTTCGCAGATGGACACCTAGGTTGTGACTCCGAGAAAACTTTTTGTTGCAGAGAGTACAATCGAAATTCTTTGCAGGCATAGGCATAGTGGGAGAGCAAATAGACTCGCTGTATCTGAAAAGAAGAAAACAATAAATAATAAGAGAGGTATTGAGTTAGCATCCATTCCTTCTGTCCATTTCTCTGCCACTGCCACTAGTGTCTTTCGTTAAAAATCCAGGCATTACTCGACTGCGTGGGCTACTAAGACGCATCTTTAGAAGGAGAGGAAAAAGGGGGGGCAGAGGAGTAATCGCTTTCTGTCTCACAAAAGAGGGGACGGGGCGGTGAAACAGTCAGATTGCATTGACGCTTTTATTTGTTGTTATTTGCACCGAATGACAATGTTTGTCACTGGTTTTTGCTGTCTGTAGGTAGGTACTTTTCAAAAGGTCCGAAGTGCCACAAAATTTCTCTTTTTTCAATCAGATAAGATAAAGGTTTGCTATATCTCTGATGAGGCGATTGACATTTGACAGACTAGACATAGTTATGACAATATTTGGACAAAGTCTTTAAAACGTCTTTTTAATTTCCCTTCTTACGAGTTTTTGTAACAATTTTCGGACTAAGACAAAAAAAGATTAGAGAAGACTTTAAAAAGTGACCATAAAGTATGTATGACCTGAGCTGTGTTCCATAGGACGTCTTTTCCAGTCCTTGAATGTCCTGTCTTCCAGGACATATATGTCTATCCTTGTCCCCGTGTCCACATAGGCTGCACACGTCCTTTTCAGTCCCTGTATGTCTAGTCCTCTCGGATGGAGAGCGTCATAGTCCTCAAGGACATATTGTCTAGTCGAGTCCAGGTATGTCCAGTCTTGGTGTGTCCAGTCGTTCAAGACATGAATGACAGTTATGTCTTGTTTAGTTTCTGTATGTTTAGTCTCCCAGGAAGATAGAGGGTCAGTCGATTAGGACATATTTTTTGTCCCGTCCGCATATGTCCAGACTTGACTTAAAAGACGTTTATGTCTTGAATAAACGCTGACTGGGCAAAACCAGGGGTATGCACTGTAAAAAGCTTACGAACTAAATGCTTTGCAACGTTACGAACAATTTTCGTTCTTTGTATTGCAAAGAAATTGTTCGTGTTGCAAAGCGGTTATTTGTAAGGCTAGACAGGTTCTTACGAACAATCGGTTTGCATTACGAACTATTTGTTCGCAAGCTTACGAAGAATGAGTTCGTAATACAACGCTTCAAATTCCTTCGTAAGCTACGAAAGTTTTGGTTTGCATTACGAACCTATTGTTCGTAAACAATTTACAGTGTGCAACGGGCGGGTGAGCGCCTAAGCGTGTGAGTGATCAAAATTTCAGATCAAGTCGAAACCTACAATGGACGCCTTCGTTACAGATAGGCCTTTCAATACGTATGCGAGTTTCTCCGGTAAGTAGAGTGGTTCTCCCACATTAACTCAACAAAGTCAGCCATTCGGTGGCGTAGACCTTACCTCAAACCGCTCTTTTGCAAATACTACGTAATGACGACTTACCGGGATAAAATTCCAGAAAAGTCGGAAAGCCTATGTGGTGTACTGAATGCATTGGTTTGTATTGTTAGACACGAAAAGTCGGAAAAATCACACTCTGAAGCCAGCCGCGCGGGTCCCACCCCACACGCTCGGCCGGCCCGCCCTGCCGGCCCGAGGCATCGCCTCAGCCCTCCCCCAGCCCTGGCAAAACATATGTCCCTGGACACCGGACAAGGACTGGACAGGACACCACTATGACAAATATACCAGTGCATGGAGACGTAGGCCTACAACACTGACACTGCTGGGATTTAGGATAAGGACATTGAAAGGACGTGAACATGGACACAAAATGACATACCGAAGACATTGTCTAAGAAGTCTTAGTAAAGACATGGAACGTAAGTGCGGCAAGACATTCCATAGACTAGCTCAGGACTAGACTGTTACAAGACATAACAAGTAAGTCCATGCAGACATACGGAAAGACATATGTAAACGACATAAAGACATTTGTAGACATACAAAACGGCATCACCAGTCCTGAAGACATGCCAAGGACATTTCAAAGACTGTGTTGACGGACATCAGGACATGAATATGGCATAATATGGACACACAAAAGACTTAAAAGACACAATGACATTAAAAAGACTGAATGCAGACATAAAATCATGTCCTTCATATGTCAATCGCCTCATCAGGGATGATTTGTTCGCGATAAACTTAACCATGATCGCTGGCGAAATTAAGTAGGTGACAAACATTACTATTGCTTACATTATTACTATTATTATTAACATTATATTGCGTTATTGCGAAGGCGGAAACGAGGGAGGCGTGCCTGTCAGCGAGCCTGTGCGGGAGGCTGGGAGCTGCCTTTAGGCCGCCCGCCGCGCGCCGCCAGCCTTAAATAATTCATGGGTCGCGCGGGGGCCGCGGCCTAGGCTGCCTACAGGCGGCCTACGGGCGGCCTACGGGCGGCAAGACGCACTCGCGACGAGAAACGTGCTATAATTTATCATTAGATGTGCGCGCGCCGCCCGCGCCGCTGCAACATGCCGGCCGCCACCGACGCTCTCCCCGTTTGATGGAAGTGTGAAGATTGGGTTATGCTTATATAGGCGTCGCCCTACGGGACTAGGGAAGGGAGAGAGAGGGAGAGAGAGAGAGTGAGAGAGCTGTTGGCTGGGCGCGACATTCTGTAGTGACGAATTGGGGGCTGTTTCTTGTTAAATAATTAACAGAGTAGGGCTGTAATGAAGCACTGAGCAGGGCTGCCAGCCTCCATTACATCTCCCCCCCCCCTCTCTCTCTCTCTATGAGCATTCCACCCCCGCCCCACTTAGCGGCTCTGACGCCTCTCTAACAGCTGAATTAATTGGCGACAACTTAACACCCCATCGTCACCAATATCGCCATTAGCGCGGCCTCCCCCGCGCACTCTGTCCCCTCCGCCCCTCCACGCGATTCGCAAACATTTATGGCACCACTGGGCCGCTCTGCTTTTCAATTTGCCATCATCACGATCGGTTTTGAGGATCGAAACGAAGGTTGCGAGAATATAATTGCCAAAATCACTAGTCAGTTTCGATCCGATACAACGACGGAGATACTGCTATTGGAATACACCGTCAGCCTCAGTTCGCGGCACGGAGGAGTGGAGAACTGTCAACGCAAAGTGCGTTTCGGGAAAGAGAGGGAGGAGGGAGGAGGGGGGGTATGGGGTAGGGGAAAGGGATGCGGCGGGTGGTGGGAGAGCGGTGAGTTGGGGGCGTGGCGTGGTGTTTGGGGCCTGGGCGTTGAAACGAAATGGCCGTCCTCACTTTGAGCACAAAGCCGTATGTTTTACTCGGGCTTACAAAGTCATTAAAGTGATGAATATTAAGGGTCCGCGGGCCGCGGGGCCCGACCAGCCTCTCACCCCCGGCCTCTCATCTTCCTCCCGACCCATCGCGGCAGGTTTAGAAGCAGGCCGGCCTGGGGTAAATGGCTGCCCTGCGCATGCGAAGCAGTTACCCCCCGCCCCGTGTGGTGGTTACCCACCCCCCACAGTTACCTCCTGGTCGCCGCGCCCGGCTTTTGGCTTCACGCCTGGCTTAGGCCGCTCTTTTGGTTTTTCCTCTGAGCCACTCCGCGCTCCGCCACGCCCTTCTGCGAAAATCTCTCCATTAATTCGGGGCCGTGTCAGCCCCTGCCCCCACCTCCTCCTCTCCCCTCAGATTCAACCCCCTCTCTCAACGAGTCCACTTCAACTCACGCCCGCTGCTGGCGCGGAAGGGTGGGGTGGGG